TAAAAAGTCCTAGCACTGCTGGGAGGCGCGGTCCAAGTCAGGAACTCAGCGCTCGAGCGACAGGACCCCAGTCTCCTACTGTAGAAAAAAAAGGAAATAGGAAAGCGAAATTAGATGGCGGAGACGGGGTATATATTGAGCGGGCATGGGGTGGCGGCGACGGTCGGCGAGGCTGAGGCAGGAGGACGTCGCTTGAGCGCCAGGAGTTGGAGGTGCCTGTGAGCGTAGCTGACGCCACGGGCACTCGACTCTTAGCTGGGCAACACAAGGCTGAGGACTCCTGTTCTCAAAACAAAAACAACGAAAAAAAAAAATTGTTATGCAATCACTAAAATGGAATATGCAAAATGCAATATGCAAAATTTAATATGCAACATGAAAAATGCAACATGCAATGTGCAAAATGCAATGTGCAAACATGCAAAATTTAATATGCAACTTGCAAAATGCAATATGCAATGTGCAGTCACAGAAAACTATGCAAGAAAATTCCCAAACCACCCTGACTGACAGCCTGCGGGAAACTGCTGCAAAAGTCACTTTTTTGGGCACCTCTTCTGGGTGGAAAATGAAGTTTGCAAACTAAGGGGCTTTGCTTTTTTTTTTTTTTTTTCCTAGTTTTTTGTTTTGTTTTGCAAACCACAGGAAGGACAGCCATAGCAAATTAGTGATGGAGTTTCTAGACTGTGAAGATTCAGTTCAAATGTTACTCTTGGTCCGGTCACAATCTTTAGCGTTATTAATCTGTCATCTTTGCGTGCGTGTTTACGGTTGATTTTCATTTCCGATTAGAAAACAATGCTGCCTTGGTTAATCTCTCCTCCGTGAATTTAGAGAGGCTGACTTTAAAAAAAAAAACAAACAAACCCATAATATGCCGAAATAAAAAATAAATTAAAAAAAAAAAAAAAGGGAGGGAAGAGAGCTTCCCTCCCTCCTCCCGGGGCCACCTCCTCTGTCACCGGCTGTCTGAGGTCACTTTTCACGGCAAAAACGTCACCCCTGAACAGGGACGAAGTGACCCAAGACGCCACGGCGCAAGTCTTTGCTAAACTCTTTTTTTTTTCTTTTTTTTTAGAGGCAGAGTCTCGCTCTGGTCGCCCGGGCTAGAGTGAGTGCCTGGTGCGTCGAGCCTCGCTCACCAGCAGCCTACCGAAAGCCTGGCCTCACAGCGATCCTCCTGCCTCAGCCTCCATTTCTGAGAGAGAGAGAACCTGGGCATGACGGGCATCGCCGCCTCCACGCCCGATCATTTTTTTTCTATTATATTTTTAGTTGTCTAGCCTCATTGTTTTCTAATTTTTTTTTTTTTTTAGAGACAGGGTCTCGCTCTTGCTCAGGCTGGCCTCGACCTCCTGACTTTGAGCGATCCTCCCGCCTCGGCCTCCCTCCCGAGTAGCTGGGACTACAGGCATGCGCCACCACGCCCGGCTCACTTTTTAAATATATCTTTAGTTGTCTAGCTCATTTGTTTCTATTTTTTTTTTATTAGAGACAGGGGTCTCGCTCTTGTTCAGGTTGGCTTCGACCTCCTGAACTTGAGCGATCCTCCCGCCTCAGCCTCCTCCCTAGTAGCTGGGACTACAGGCGTGAGCCACCACGCCTGGCTCATATTTTAAATATATTTTTAGTTGTCTAGCTCATTTGTTTCTATTTTTTTTTTATTAGAGACGGGGTCTCGCTCTTGCTCAGGCTGGCCTCCACCTCCTGGCCTCGAGCGATCCTCCCTCCTCGGCCTCCCAGAGTGCTGAGATGACAGGCGTGGGCCTCCCCGCACTTCTGCAACCCCGTTCCGTGTGGGGCCGAGGCCGGGGGACGGGGGGGGACACCCGGCAACCCCGTGTGCCTCTTCTTGCAGGGGCGAGGTGATTAACGGAGGCTTCGGCCTCGTTTTGGACGGGACCGCGGAGGCCGAGCAGAAAGCGAGGATGATGCTGAGCTGGGACGTCTCCAACGGCGTGAGTCCCCCCTCCCTCCATTCGCCACTCCCCTTCCCTGTGTCCCCCTGCCGGTGGTGGCCTCTTCAGCCTCGACCCCTGAGAGTGTCACTTTGCCACCCGGGAAATCAAGACCTCGTGCGTCTTGCCCATTCCCCGGCCCGTCCTCCACCTTGGGGGCCTCCGGGGGGGAGGACACGGGGGGCCGGGTTTGTCCCCAAGAGCAGCAGCCGGGAAGGGAGACGCTTTGGCCGAGACCCGAAAACGGAGGCCGGGAAGGGAGGCCCGGGCTCAGGGTTGAGGCCGGGCCTCCAGAGTCCCCGGCGTGCACTGGGGCCGGGTGACGAGGAGGGGACCGCTGAGCCCTGGGCGTCCGCTGGTGGCAGGTGGCCCGGCGCTGCTGGTCCGGGAACCAGAAGGCGTACGAGACCATCTGGCGGACCATGGAGGACGACAGCCGGCTGGAGGTCACCCTCCCGCACGAGGTGGCGGACGACGGGGTCATCCGGCGGGCCCTGCGGCCCTGAGTCCCCCTCAAGCTCCCCTGGCCTCCCCGGGAGGCCCGGCCTCACCTCTCTCCCTGCCCGCACGCCCTCGCTGCGCCCATTTCGCGGATGGGAACACTGAGGCCCGGAGAAGAGAGGCCGGTCGGTCCGACCGTCCACCCTGCCCTCACTTGGGAGCCCGGGAGTGGGTGGAGGCCGGAGACAGCCTCCTTCAGGGCTGAGTCCCCCAGCCTCTAGGATCTTGGCCGTCCCCCCACCTCCCCAGCCCCCTGCCTTCGGGATCTTTCTCTGTAGCCGGGCGGGTCCCCACCGTGTTTTCCCCGAAGATGAGACCCACCCGTGTGGCCCGGGGCGCCTGTCGTCCCAGCACCCAGGGAGGGGGGAGGCCGGGGCGGGAGGATCGCCACTGGAGGTCGGGAGTCGGAGGCCAGCCTGAGCCCAAGAGCGAGACCCCGTCTCTACTAAAATAAAAATAAAAAATAAACGAGTTGGACGACTGAAAAAGAAAAACGAGCCGGGCGCGGTGGCGCGTGCCTGCCGTCCCAGCTCCTCGGGAGGGAGGCCGAGGCGGGAGGCCGGCTGGAGGCCGCAGTGAGCGAGGCTGGCGCCGCACGGCACGACTCCGGCCGGGGCGACAGAGCGCGACTGTCTCAAGATGAACGAACGAAACGAAATGAAATGAGGAGAGACCCTGCAGGCGGCGCGGGGGGCCAAGCTCGGGGTGCGAGCGGCGGGCCCGCTGTTTGCTTAGTACGAAATGCTGTGTGACCTCGGGCGGGGCGCGGGGCGTCTCTGTGCACGGCGGGCGCGCGCTGTGTGACCTCGGGCGGGGCGCGGGGCGTCTCTGTGCACGGCGGGGCGCGGGCGTCTCTGTGCCCGGCGGCGCTGTGTGACCTGGGCGGGCCGCGGGCTCTCTGTGCTCGGCGGGCGCGAGCTGGTGCTGACCTCGGGCGGGGGCCGGCGGCGTCTCTGTGCTCGGCGGGCCGGCTGTGTGACCTCGGCTGGGGCCTGCTGTCTCTGTGCTCGGCGTGCGCGAGCTGTGTGACCTGGGCGGTGGCCTGGGGTCTCGGCACGCGCGCCAGCGCTGTGTGACCCGGGGCGGGGGCGCGGTGTCTCTGTGCACGGCGGGCGCCAGCGCTGTGTGGACTCGGGGCGGGCGGCTGTGCCGTCTCTGTGCACGGCGGGCGCCACGTGTGTGTGACCTCGGGCGGGCGCTGGGCGTCTCTGGCACGGCGGGCGCGCGCTGTGGGATCCTCGGCGGGCGCGGGGCGTCTCTGTGGCCCGGCGGGCGCGCTGTGTGACCTCGGGCGTGTGCGCGGGCGGTCTTCTGTGCAGCGTGCGGGGCAATCGCTGGTGTGACCTCGGGCGGGGCGCGCAGCCGTCTCGTGCACGGGCGCGCGCTGGTGTGACCTCGGCGGGGACGGCGGGGGCGTCTCTGTGCACGGCGGGCGCGCGGCTGTGTTGACCCTCGGGCGGGGCGCGGTCGTCTCCTGGTGCACGGCGGGGCGGCTGTGTGGACTCGGGCGGGCTGCGGGGCGTCTCTGTGGCACGCGGCGGGCGATCGCTGTGTGACCTTCGAGGGCGGGCGCGGGGTCTCTGTGGCTCGGCGGGCGCGCTGTGTGACCTCAGGCGGGCGCTGGGTACTCTGTGCACGGCGGGCGGAGTCGCTGTGTGACCTCGGGCGGGCCGGGCGTCTCTGTGCACGGCGGGGCGCTGTGTGACCTCGGGCGTTGCGCGTCGGCTCGTCTCTGTGCTCTGGCGGGGGCCGCGCTTGTGTGGGACCTCGGGGCGGGTGGGTGCCGCGGCGTCTCTGTGCACGGCTGGGTGCGCGCCTGTGTGACCTCGGCGGGGCGCGGGGCGTCTCTGGCACGGCGGGCGCGCGCATGTGTGTGACCTCGGGGGGGCGCGCGGCGTCTCTGTCTCGCGGCGCGCGCTGTGTACCTCGGGCGCCGCGGGGCGTCTCTGTGCACGGCGGTGCCGCGCTGTGTGACCTCGGGCGGGGGCGCGGGGCGTCTCTGTGCACGCGGTGCGCGCGCTGTGTGACCTTCGGGCGGCGCGGGCGTTCTGTGCACGCGCGTGCGCTCGCGCTGTTGTGACTCGGGGGGCGCGCGGCGTCTCTAGGTTGCTCGCGGGCGCGCGCTGTGTGACCTCGGCGGCCGGCGTCTCTGTGCTCGGCGGGCCGCGCTGTGTGGCCTCGGGCGGCGCGGCGTCTCTGTGGCACGGGGCCGCGCTGTGCGGCAGCACGCGGCGTCCGACGTGGCCGCGTGGGAGTCACCGCTCGGTACCCCGCAGGGAGACGGGAACCGGGGAGTCGGGGTCGCAGGAGCCTCGCTTCCCACGTGCGGGATCCGAGCGCAGCGCGTGTGGGACCAGACGGGGAAGCCCCGCCCCTCCCAGACACGCCCCTCTGGGTGGCACCGCCCCCTCCCAGCGAAGCCACGCCCCTATCAGAAAAGTCACGCCCGTCCGTGCGACGCCCTGCCCACCCGGACACGCCCCTCTGGGCGGGGCCCCCTCAGAGGCGTCACGCCCCTCTGCGACGCCCCGCCCCTCACACTTCACGCCCCTCTGCGACGCCCCGCCCCTCACGGACACGCCCCTCAGGGCAGGACCCTTCCCCTCCGAGCGAAGCCACGCCCCTCTCAGAGACGTCACGCCCCTCTGCGAAGCCCCGCCCACCACCGACATGCCCCTCTGGGCAGGACCCCTCCCCTCCCAGCGAAGCCACGCCCACCACCGACATGCCCCTCTGGGCAGGACCCTTCCCCTCCCAGCGAAGCCACGCCCCTCTCAGAGACGCCACGCCCCTCTGGGCGGCGCCCCGCCCATCCCCAACACGCCCACCTCCCACGCCACTCCCCGCGGTGCCCCTCCCCTCCCCGAGACGTCACGCCCCTCCCGGCGGCGCCACGCCCCCTGCGAGACGCCCCGCACCTCCCCGCGACGTCGCCGGTTGGGAGTCACCCGCTAGGTACCCCGCAGAGACGGAAATAGGGGTATTCGGGGTAGCAGGAGCCTCGTTTCCCACGCCCGGGATCCGAGCGCAGCGCGGGCGGGACAAAGGAACGCCCTGCCCGTCTCCGCGAAGCCACGCCCCTCTCCGCGACGTCATGCCCCTTTGAGTGGCGCCCCGCCCCTCTCCGCGGCGCCACGCCCCTTACGAGACGCCCCGCCCCTCTCCGCGACGTCGCCGGTTGGGAGTCACCCGCTAGGTACCCCCAGAGACGGAAATAGGGTATTCCAAGTCGCACAAGCCTCGTTTCCCACGCCCAGCAGAGCACTGCACGCGCGGGACTAGATGGCCACGGCCCTCTCCGCGAAGCCCCGCCCATGTGCGCGAAGCGTCGGCCGGTCTTTGTCTGCCAAGCCACGCCCATGCCCGCCACGCCCCTCAGGGACGCCCCGCCCATCCCCGCGAAGCCCCGCCCCGGTGCGCGACGGCCATCTTTCTCTGCCACGCCATGTCCATTTCCGCCACGCCACGCCGCCCCTCCCCTCTCCGCGACGCCACGCCCCTCGCAGCCAGTTCCAGCGAAGCCACGCCCCTCCCCGCGACGCCACGCCCTTCCCCGCGACGTCGCCGGTTTGGATTCACCCCTTGGCACCCCCCAGAGACGGAAACAGGGTATTCTAAGTCGGACAAGCCTCGTTCCCCACGCCCGGGGTCGGGGCACAGCGCGGGCGGGACTAGATGGGCACGCCCCGCCCATCCCAGCGACGCCACGCCCCTCCGGGCGGTGCCACGCCCCCTCCGCCACACCGCGCCCCTCCCCGCGACGTCGCCGGTTAGGATTCGCGCCGCTGCACCTTCCTAGATACGGAAATAAGATATTGGAAGTCACACAAGCCTCGTTTTCCACGCCCGGGTGCAGCCCACAGCGCGAGCGGGAGGAGACCCGCACGCCCCGCCCCTCCCCGTGACGTCACGCCCTCCCTTCAACGTCCCGCGGGCCCCAGCGGGCCTCACGCTCGCGCCCCACGACCCCGGCGCCGCCAGCGCACGCGCACTTCGCGGCTGCCCTCTGCGCCGCTCGCCGACGCCTTCCGGGTTCTGCGACTGGGCGTCCGTACGCCGTTTTGCGTGCGCACGCGCATTTCGAGGCTTCCGCCTCTGCGCCGTGCGCCGGCGCCATCCACGTTCCGTGGGGGGGGCGGGGCGTCCCTACGTGCCTCCGTCTCGAGCGCACGCGGTCTTCGAGGCTTCCCTCTGCGCCGCTCGTCGCCGCCTTCCGGGTTCTGTCACTGGGCGTCCGTACGCTGTCGTTGCGCGCGCACGCGCACTTAGAGGCTGCCCTCTGCGCCCCGCGTCGGCGCCGTCCGCATCCCGAGGGCGGGGCAGGGCGTCCGTACGTGCCTCCGTCGTCGCGCGCACGCGCACTTCGAGGGTTCCCTCTGCGCCGCTCGTAGCCGCCTTCCGGGTTCTGGGATTTGCGCGTCCGTACGCCGTCGTTGCGTGCGCACGCGCATTTCGATGCTTCCGCCTCTGCGCCGTGCGTCGGCGCTGTCCACGTTCCGTGGTGGGAGGGAGGGCGGGGCGTCCGTACGTGCCTCCGTCTCTCGCGCACGCGCACCTCGAGGCTTCCCTCTGCGCCGCGCGCCGACGCCTTCCGGGTTCTGGGACTGCGCGTCTGTACGCCGTCGTTGCGTGCGCACGCGCACTTCGAGGCTTCCGCCTCTGCGCCGTGCGTCGGCTCCCTCGGCGTCCTGTGAAGGCGGGGGAGGGGGGGTGACGTTTTGACGCACGCACGCACGCCGGCGTCGCGCGCGCAGGCGCACTCGCTCGGCTGGGCGGGGCGTGTGGCGCTCGCTCGGAGGCGACGCCGCCGGGCCCAGCCATGGAGTTCCCTTCGCTGCTCGCCG